GCTGTGAGTCGGCATCACACACACAGGGGCAGTTCCCCCCGCCCCCCAGTCCTATAGGGTCGCTGTGAGTCGGCATCGCCGTGATGGCAGTGAGGGTGGTTTGCAGTCTGAGTCCCTGGGTGACACACACATTCAGCTGCGGATCTGCCCGGTCACGCCTTGAAGGAAGGCCTGGGGCGGACTCTGGAAAGGCTGCCCCGACCGTCCCTGCAGCGCCTTGTACTCTGACGTCCCACACGCGGTGCCACGAGGGGGAGCTGGCAGCCACTGTGACCCCTGGCCTGTGGTCACCTTCTCCAGACCTGCCATTGACAGCCTTCCCCCCGTGGGTCCTGCACCTTGGAAAGACCCCAAGGCTGGACAAGTTCTCCTCCCACACGCCCTGTGCCTTGGAAGCCCCCCAGAGAGGCCTCTGGCAGCTCTGTCCTGTGCTCCACTCACCATGATCCAGAGTGGGGAAGGCACCTGGGCCAGGGCTTGGGCGTTGTCGGAGGTAACGGATGGGACAGCGGAGCACCACAGCAGGGAGAAGAGCCAGGGGGCGTTGACCGTGTAGAGATTGACACTCAGATTCCAGGAGGCGTAGTCCCTGCGTGGCGGGGGCAGAGCGGCGTGTCAGACACGCCCCCAGCTGTGCACTGGGATGGTGAGAATAAGGGGGGTTTGGCCTGCCCTCCTGTGGGAGAGCCGGCGTGCGTGTGGGCGGGCGGGCACCTGAGCTCCTGGCGGGACACCTGAGTGTAGCGCAAGTTCAACCACTGGATGTGGCCGCGCCGCAGGCTGGCCACTGCCTCCTTGGAGCCAGCCGTCTGCTGGAAGCCGGGGGCCACCTTCTGCACCAGGGGCCTGAGCTTGTCCGGCAGCCACATGACCTGCAGGCAGGAGAGGGGCTTCTCAGACTCCCTTCACCGAGGCGGCACACGCCCGCCTACCTCCCACGAGGGCCCTCGATGACTGCGTGCTTGGCTGCTAACCAAATGGCTGGTGGCTCAAACCCACCCATGGCTCCTCTGGAGAGGCCAAGCCTGCTGACCTCCGAGTTGGGGCTGACTGGGTGGCATCCGCCAGCACTTCGAGGAGCAACTGCAGGGCCCAGAGGGGCGCTGGCAGGAGGACACCTGAGCGTCCTGGTTCGTCCCAGCCAGGGGGGGACAGGGGGGTGGGCAGGGTCATTCTGGCAGCAGTCAGGTCTTGTCAGGACAGGGTTACAGCCCACACATCAACCACGCTACCTGCGGCCACCGGCCCCTAGCATTACCGAGAACAGGGTCAAGTTCCTCTGTTCCCGAGATGACACGGGACCCCGGCACCCGCCCTCCGTTCGTCTTGAAGGACTTTCTTGTCCCCCTCGGGTGCCCACGATGCCCGACTCACCCGGTGCTGGGGGAAGCCGGAGCGAAGCACAGCCTCCAGCGTGACGTTGAGGAAGCTGGCGAGGTAGGGGTGGCCCCGCGGGGGGTCGCGGAGGTTGAGGAGCAGCGAGGTGTTGCCCTTGGCCAGCTCCAGGAGCTCTGCCAGGCTGCAGAGGGACTGGTTCTGGGCCTCCCTGAGGTCAGCGGGAGACAGGGAGCCAGCTGTCCAGAAGGGGTCAGTCTGGTGGAGACACGGGCATGTGGCTGTGTCACTAGCTTGTTGCCCTCCCCTCCCC